CACACCCTTCTCCTTCTTAAATTTTCCCTCCTATGAAAAGGGAAAAGAAAATCTCAAACTCACAAAAATACACATGAACTTACACATGCACACATGGAAATAAACAAGAGGAGGGCATTGTGCCATCATGGCTCTAAACGATACTTTGATTGGGTGTGTGTATGTTGGTGAGAGATTGCGTGTTCCATACCGAGACAATTTCCTCTGGTCTGAGTTTGGGGGATTCAGGTTTTGGTACATCAGCTGGCAACGTGTCGCCAAGAGCGCTGAGAGCATCCAGAGACAGAGAGTCACCCTGAGGAGAGAACAGGACATTGTAATTTAGCTGTGATAATTTTGATAGCAAGCTCAGGTTTCAAGTTTCTCTATTTGTCACATTCACAGAGCTACAGAATAAAACAGTGGAAATAAAGGGACGCTCAGTTACTATGAGGGATCAGATAAAATAAAATAAAATAAAATAAATATGTACGCATGCACATCTATATATATATATACAAAACATACATACAATTTAGGTTAGTCTTCAAAAATAAGTGAAAAAAGTAAAAAGACAATCCAACACAAGAGAGGGTAAAGTAAGACATCATTGTCAAAGAACAAAAGTGTTATGGCTACCTTCTCAATCTTGGGTTTTCCATGTTGTGGTTGAGCAGGCTTGACATCAATTCTGCCGGGTGGACAAACTGTCCTCTGCAGAGAAACAGGGACATACAGTACAATGAGACATGTGGACTGAAAAGACATGGGACACTAGAGGATGCAAGGAGCGACACACACAGGTCAGAGTAGAAACAAAACTATTTCTATTTATTCTACTAACTTGGTAAAGAGACTTATACTATAGGAGGACAAAACAGTTCACAGATATGCAAACACACATACACACACACACACACTCACACATTCACAGCTATAGCTTTACCTCTGGTATCTTGGTAGAAGGAGGGACGGGGGCCTGAACTCCAGAAGCTTTAGTTGGAGCCACAAAGTCTCCAGCGAGTAACTCCAGAGCTGATAAATTCTCTACTTTGCCCTGGAAAAGTGAGACAACAGCTGTTAGTGGTAACACAGAGCTCCCGCTGACATAAAGAAATAAAATTAAAACATTGTTAGAAACTAAACTTATTTGGTTTCTTGCAGAGAGTTTCTTGCAGATTGACACCATTCTCTCACTTTACAAAACAGCTAGCTTAGCTAAGCGCAAAGACTGGAAACAGGAGGAAACAACCAGCCTGGCTCTGTCCAGAGGCACAGAGCCCCCTGTCCCCTGTAAAACCATAATTTGTCTTTGACTTATAATGTGTATATATTAAAGAAACAGCACCAGATCCTACCATCACTCCTGTTTGTTCAAAAATAAAATCATCTGTTGAAGTGATTTATCTGTACATCACCCTGCTTTTGGCTGATTTTGGCTGCAAGCACTAATAAAAACAGCATATCAACAGCGTACCTGTGCAGGAGGAGCTGGGGGGGTGA